TCTATGGCCCATTCAATCCTCTTGCTCTTATTTGTGCCCTCATCACTCAGGATGACCCCTGTGGTGATAGGTGCTGTACAAACAGAGGTACCAGTGCCACCCCAAGGAGTTTAAAATCTCAGTCTCTACAGACTAACTGGCTGCTATAATGGGCAATGTCGACACATGTATTGGGAAAGCAATGGACTCCCAACAGACTCAGTGCACGCAGGCTACCAGTGATTAATTACTTCTTATTGCCAGGGGCTGAATTTGAACCTTTATCCAGGGAGGTAAGCTAGTGCCTATCACCAGTCTCTTCATAGGAGGCCTTTGGCTGAGGGTGCAGTATTATTGAATACCAGCATAAAAGCATCCATCCACGCTATCAACTAAAGGCATGGAAAGTAGAGAACAGTGTCTTTTTAAACATGGGGTCAGGGTACTTCGTAAACACAGCTTTGAACTGCAGCTGCCTTGGCCTAGCTCCTTTCCCAAGCTAGGAGGAGATAGATGGTGTGGTAGGAGAACCTGGCGGTAGTCTCTTCATCCCAGATAGTGATTTGACACCTGCTGCTATCAGTGCACTTCTCCAGGCTGTCACATCCCAGGTGACTCTAAGCTTATCTCAGTATTAAGTGGTAGCCTTCCGGGGCCTGCACTGAGAGAGGAAAAACACATGCACAACACTTGAACTGAAGTCCTAATGTTTCTCTCATTCAGCTTGCGAGACACTGTCTCAGTGCATTAGAGAAAGCAACTCTGTGAGCTGCATGTCAGGGCACAACGCAGGAGGATGCTGGCAGAGGCAGCGTGTCACTGCATGGGAACCTGGAGGTAAGAAGCTGGCTAGACGCCTGTATAATTAATGCTAGAAGACACTTGCCGAGTGATGGCTTCATTTGCTTTAATAGAGCGTCATAGGGGACGGGCTGGCTCGCTCACCTCCTGAACATCTTGCAGAGCAAAGACCATTATTACTATGAAATGCAAAGGCATTTCCTAGCAATAATGGCTGCACCCCCAAAACTGCCTCTTCCCTCCTCAACAGATGGTGCTGTGTGCCACTTTGCGGCTTCCCCCACCACCACCCCAGAAGGGGCTTCATTTCAAGTCAAGTAGTGAGTTTAAAATAAATGGGGGGGGGGGGGG